ATTTAATTTTATTCATTATAATTTTTAACTTCTAAAATTTGACTACTGAGAGAGAAAGAGAGGGAACGTTGAGAAATTAAGCTGCCAGATCTGGAATTCAAACCACAGTCGGCCATTTGGGAGTCCAGCACTTTAATCTCCAGGCCAGCTGCTGTCCTCTAAATGCATTTTTAATTACTTACATTTTTTGAGTAACCTATCACTCTTTTTTTAAAAGAGAGAGTTCTGCTATAGGGCACATGCACTCACCAGAAAGAGACAGAGAGACAGAAAACGAGAAATTATCCCCCAGAAGGGCTGGCCACATCACAGTCCCTTCTCCATTCTCCTATTGGGATCTTAGGCTTGCATGCACACACACCTGGCATGAGTTTAAGCCACCGGGTCGAAGACTCAAACCCCAGTCAACTAAGTGGGAGACCAGTGCAATAACCATTATGCCATCTGCTGGTTCCACCTATCACTCTGAACAAGGTAAACAGTACATCTCTACATGTTTGTACAAATGCATATACACACAGTAAGCTTACAGCATCCTTGGATGTTCACTGAACCAGGTATGAGTAGGACAGAATATTATTAATTATATTATATGGACAAGCAGTTGTGATTTTCAGTCATGCAGTGATCCTCAGCAGTGACCTGGCCAATTTGGGGAACAACTATTTCTGGACGTTACACTCTGAGGCTAATTATTTCTACCTGTATAAATGGATAGGCATTTTTTTTTTAAATAATTAGTTTAACATTTATTTATTTATTCATTTATTTATTTATTTAAATATGACCAGAGAGGGACAGAGTGAGAGAGACAGAGAAAAAATGAGAAAGTAAGCTGTCAGGTCGAGGTCCAGGACCTGAACTGTGGTTGGTCATGTGGGAGACCAGCGCCCTTAACCACCATGCCACCTGCTGGTCCCTGGATGGGCATTTTGTTCCCAGCATCACCTTTGGTCACCCTTTGGCAGAAAACATCTATGACAGGACCCTTTCTTTGATACGCACAGGATGTTTTCTTGGCCAGAACAATGGATAAAGCCAGTGACTGTAGCAAGAGCCAGTCAACACACCTTTCATTTCAAGGCTACTGAGAACCCAGAGGCTTTGGCCAAAGACACTGGGAAAAATGGGGTGGAGGTTGGCTTTGCCATCAAACCAAGAAGTATTTGGCACCATGAGCTTATTGAATAACTTGGCTATGACAGTGGTACCTGGGTTTGGAGGGTTGGAATTCTTGGAAGATATGAAGTCAAAGATACCCTGGTTGAGGACCCAGTTCCCATCTTTGGATATAGAGGTCAAGGTGGAGTTGATCTTGACCCTGTCCATAAACATGTAGGGGCAGGAGCTAACACTGTATGGCAGTGCCATTATGAGAAATGATGACCTCAGATCTGTGATCAACCTGCGAAGAAGTGTTTGTTCAGAAGGTACTCAGAAACATTCTTGAAGAAACCACACAGGAGACCATTGTCTGTCCTTGTTCATGAAATCTCCTTTTTACTGGAAAACAGGACTGCTGAATTCTAAATCAGGTTACAGTTGAGGCAGTGCTACTCTTCTGAGAAGTTACTCCAGTGATTAAAATCTATTGTGCAGAATGTTGTCAGAGGCTAGAAATTGGTGTGTATAAAACTTGTATTTTAGGGGCTAGTGGGTGATGTGGTGGTTAAGGTACCGGGCTTTCACATGACTGACCACAATTCGAGTTCTGGACCAGGCGGCTTGAAAATCACAGGTGGTATGGTGGTTAAAGGCACTGGACTTGCACATGGCTGACTGCGGTTTGAGTCCTGGACCTGGCAGCTTGCTTTCTTACTTTCCCTCCTGCTTTCTGTCTCCCTCTCTGTTCAAATTAAAAACAATAATAATGATGATAAAATAATAAAATAATAATTATTTTTAAAAATCATGTCAAGCATGCATGCATACATACTTAAAATCCTGAGGGGAATGGAGGAGAAGGAACTGTGGTGTGGCCATACCTCCTGGGGCATGATTGCTCATTGCCTCTCTCCATATCTAACTCTGTCTCTCTCTCCAGCGAGTATACTCACCCTACGGCAAATGCCTAAAATTTTAAAAATCTTGCATTTTTAGTGGTTAAATACCATTACTACTGGAAGACTTTATTTATTTATTTATTTATTTTGGAGAGGTTTATGCTATAGGGTGTGTGCGCTCACCAGAAAGACAGAGACTGAGAGACAGAAAACGAGAAATCACCCCCCAGGGGGGAATGGCCATGACTCAATCCCTTCTCCATTCCCCTCTCGGGATCTTGAGCACACACGCACTCGCGCCCAGCGTGAGTTTAAGCCACCAGATTCAGGACTCAAACCACGGTCAACTACATGGGAGTCCAGCGACATAGCCATTACGCCACCTGCTGGTCCCGAGACTTGATTTTTATGAAGAGTGACTATATGGTCTAACCTTTCTTTCTCCCTCTCTTCCCCATGCATATGTTTGTGTGTGGATGTGTATGTTTTATGTATATATCTGTATTTCTCTCTATATATTCTTTATACAGATACTTACTTACCTTTTTTCTGAGCTCTTTAAAAGTAAGTTGCAGGCATAGTGCTCTTTACATTTAAAAATAGGATATTTTCTTACATAACTACAGTAATTATCCAAACGTGGAAATTAGCATCGACACAGCATTGTTAGCCAATTTATAGACCTTATTTAGATTTCATTGATTGTTCTGATAATGTTTCTTATAGAGGAATAAAATACAGATCAGGAGTTTTATTCAATCGTCATGTCTTTTTTTAAATTTTCTTTAAAGAAAGATTGAGAACTGTTCTTCAGTCTTTTCTTTTTGGCCTTGAAATTCCTTATGAATATGGGCCAGTTATTTTATGTAATATCCCTCAATTCGGGTGCATTTGATGTTTCTTCATAATTCAATATGGGTTATGCATGTTTACTTAGAATATTTCAGAAGTGGTGTATCTTAGCAAAGCCATGTGATTGTAATGTGTTTAATTATTGAGGATATCAACTTTGATCATTTGATTAAGGTAGTGTCAACCAAGTTTCTCCACTGAAAATCTTTTTTCTGAACTCAATTGTAAAGTTACTGTTTTTCTTTTTATAGTTAGTATCTTTGAGATTACGTAAATATCCTGTTACTCATCACATGTTTGTCCACTGGTTTTAGAATCTATTTAGAATTTTTGCCTAAATCATTATGTATGTATAAATGTTAAAACTGAGACTGTGGCCCAAAGACAATTTTCCTAAATTCATCATTTCCTCTATATTTATTAGTTGGGAACAGTTTCCTCTTATTCTCCATTCATATAGTAATAGAAGTATGTATTTATTACTCTGGATTCTGAATGTATTTTTTGGTCAACTAAGATCTGGTAGTAAAAGTGAATATTACTACTGGATCTAATTTTTTTTTTTAAGAGAGAGTTTTGCTGTAAGGCATGTGCACTTGCCAGAGAGACAGAGAGATAAAAAGTGAGAAATCACCACCCAGTGGGGCTGGCCACACCACAGTCCGTTCTCCTCCATTCTCCTCTTGGGATTTTGGGCACACATGCACATGTGCCCGATGTAAGTTTTAAGCTGCTGGGTCCAGGACTCGAAGCACGGTCAACTATGTGGGAGTCCAGGAACATAACCATTATGCCTTCTGCTGGTCCCTTATCTGATGATTTTTTAAAAATGAAAATACTAGGCATTTAAGGACAGCTTTTGAGATAACATTTATTAGTTTCAACCTCATATTTTGGAAGAGCACTGAAATGCAAGTTTTTAAAAATGATAGAATAGGGAAGGCCTTATTTTTTTGGTTTGGTCCAAAGCATAGTCAATATGATTATGACATACATACTATGAACATAAAAATACATATCCTTGGGGCCAGCCTATGGTGTGCTGGCTAAGGCTTCTGGATTCCACATGGCCACCCTTATGGTTAGAGTCCCAGAGCCAGTGGCTTAAGGAGCACACTGGGTGCATGTACATGCATGCCCAGAATCCCAAAAGGAAGGTGAAATGGAGAAGGAGGGATTATGGCCTGTCCATTTGCCATGGGGTGTACTTTCTCACTTTCCCATTCTCTCCCTTTCTCTCTTTCTATAGTGAGCTCACGCACTCTTTGGCAAATTAAAAAACTAGTGAACAAACAAAAAATATATATGTATCTCCTTTGATCTCTTTAATTCTACTTCTAGGAATTTATCACACAGACATACTTTATAAGATTTTCATAAATACTATTATTATCCTACAGATGTACTATTTATTTATCTACTTATTTGTTGTAATTTTTCAGGCAACTAGGTCCAGGTCTCAAATCACAGTTGGCCATGTGGGAATTCAGTACCCTAACCACCATGCTACCTGCTGGCCCTTGAGATACACCTTATAAAATTATAATGTTATAGAAGATTGGAGCTAATTTTAATTCTCTCAGTTATGTTTGCTGTTTCAATTTATCCATATATGAATATATTACTCAGCCATCAAAAGAATAAACAAGCTGCTTAAATATTAAGCCTTCAAAATATAACAGAAGAGGGACCAGCAGATGGCATAATGGCCACATTGCTGGACTCCCATGTTGTTGACCACGGTTTGAGTCCTGGACCTGTGGCTTAAACTCATGCTGGGCGCGTGTGCGTGCGTGCCCAAGCTCCTGAGAGTAGAATGGAGAAGCGATTATGGCATGGCCATCCTCCCTGGGGGGTAATTTCTCGCTTTCTATCTCTCTGTCTCTTTCTGTCTTTCTGGCAAGTGCATGCGCCCTATGGCAAAAACCTCTCAAAAAAAAATAAATAAATAAAAAAATAAAAGATTTCTAAAACAGAATTTTTAAAATGTAGTTCCTGTGTAAATATAAGTATATAATATGTTTTTATTGTCTTGGTAGATAACAAACATAGACATACTGGTAGAAAGTTAATAATCTCATTTTATATGCCACTGTGTGAATATTTTAGTCTTGAAAAAAATGAATATTTGTTTTCTTTTGGCAGCATGCGTATGCACTAGAACTTCTATTTGATCAATTGCATGAAGGAGCTAAAGCTCTCGATGTAGGATCTGGAAGTGGAATCCTTACTGCATGCTTTGCACGTATGGTAAGAGCTTTATTTTTCATTGTGACCCCCAACAGAAGCATATTATATGATTTGGTATGTTTTTATTTATTTATTTATTTCAAGGTTTTTTAATATATTCAATCACTTGCAAAGTGAATATTCCAACATGTGTACATTTCTCACCAGTCCAGTTGATAATACTATAAAGTTATCTTAAACAGATAGTACTTCATTTCTTCGTCCCATTGATGCTTTGCCTCTCTATTTTTCTCCTTCATGTCCTTTCTCAGATTCTACTCCTTCACCCACCCTCTTCTCACACTATATCTGGTATTCACAACCATTTACTGTGTTTCTATATCCTTTAGTCATTCAGTTTTGGTCATAGCATGCTGACTCTTGGTATATGTTAAGTGGAGATGTCTCTCCTTCAGAACCTGACTTGCTTCACTCAGCAGTAAATCTTCAATATTCATTCACTTTCTATCAAAAGCCAGGGTCTTGTTTTTTATGGCTGAGTAGTATTCCATAGAGTATATGTGCCACCATTTTTCAATCCATTCATCTGTTCACGGGCATTTGGGTTGGTTCCATGTCTTAGCGATTGGAAATAATGCCGCAATAAACATGATGTGCAAGTACTCTTCTGATTATGAATTCTTCTGTCCTTTGGGTAGATACCAAGGAGTGGTATTGCTGGATCATATGGTAGTTCTATTTGTAGATTTTTGAGGAACCTCCAAGTCGTTCTCTACAGTGGCTGGACCAATTTACATTCCCACCAGCAGTGTAAGAGAGTTCCCCTTTCAGCACACCACTGCCAGCACTTATCATTTTTTGTTTTTTTAATCTTAGTCATTCTGACTGGGGTTAGATGGTATCTTATTGTTGTTTTTTGATCTGCATTTCTCTTACAATGAGGGATGTTGAGCATTTTTTCACATGCCTTTTGGCTATTTGTATGTTATCTTTACTCATCTTTTAATAGGATTGATCATCTTTTTTCAGGACAGCTGCTTAAATTCCTTGTGTATTCTGGTTATCAGTCTCTTATCTGACATATAGTTTACAAAAATATTTTCCCATTCTGAGGGCTGTTGAATCATTGTAATTACTGTGTCTTTTGCCATACAATGAACCATAGTCAGCCATGTGGGAGTACAGTGCCCTTTACCACCATGCCACCTGCTGGCCTCCCCAAAACATTAATACTTCTTAATTGTCCATTATAACTAGCTGGACATTTATTCATTTACTTATTTGGAGGGAGAGCTATTTGTTATAGGGCACATGTGCTCTCCAGAGACAGAGAGAGACAAAAGACAGAAAGTGAGAAATCACCCCTCCCTCCAGAGTACATAGCCATGCCACAATCACTTCTTCTGCTAGGATATTGGTCACACATGTACATGGGCCCTACATGAGTTTCTAGCCACTGGGTCCAGGATTCAAACTTCAGTCGGCCATGTCAGAGTCCAATGATATAACCACTAGGCCATCTGCTGGCCCCTGTTAGCTGGAGTTCTTAAGCTCAAAATTATGCATTTCAGTACTTTTCTTATCTCTGCTTTTCTTAGTGTGTTGTCCTCATTCTTCTATCTGATTTTTGAAATATAACATCAACGTTCACTTACCTCTACTTGAATATGTTTGATTTATCATGATATATTTGTTTATTTATTTTAGGGAATTTTGCCTTAAGTTACATGGGCTATTCAGAGAGAGAGAGAGAGAGACAGAGACAGACACAGGAAAGTAAAAGGGAAAGTGAGAAGTCAACTCCCAGGGGTTATGACCATGTCACAATCCCTTCTCCTCCATTCTCCTCCCAGAATCTTGGGCACACACGCCCTGAGTGATTTCTTTCTTTCTTTCTTTTTTTTCTTCTTTTTTAAAGAGGTTTTTGCTGTAGGGCACGTGCACTCGCCAGAAATAGAGACAGAGAGACAGAAAGCGAGAAATCACCCCCCAGAGGGGATGGCTACGCCGCAATCCCTTCTCCTCCATTTTCCTCTGGGGATCATGGGCACGCACGCATGCACACACGCTTGCGTGCCCCCGATGTGAGTTTAAGCCACCGGGTCTAGGACTTGAACCGTGGTTGACTACATTGGAATTCAGCGACATAGCCATTATGCTAACTGTTGGTCCCAGTCTGCCTGCTTTTTGCATATAGAAATGCTATAGGTTTCTGTATGTTGATTTTGTATCCTGCAACTTTACTATATTCATACATTACTTCCAGGAATTTTTTTTTCTTTTTTTCTTTTTTTCTTTTTTTTTTTTTAAGAGAGGTTTTTGCTATAGGGCACGTGCACTCGCCAGAAAGACAGAGACAGAGAGATAGAAAGCGAGAAATCACCCCCCAGGGGGGATGACCACGCTGCAATCCCTTCTCCTCCATTCTCCTCTCAGGATCTTGGGCACACACATACACACACACCTGGTGTGAGTTTAAGCCACAGGGTCCGGGACTTGAACTGCAGTCAACTACAGGGGAGTCCAGCGACATAGCCATTACGCTAACTGCTGGTCCTGACTTTCAGGAATTTTTTTCATGGATACCATTGGGTCTTCTTTGTACGCAATCATGTCATCTGCAAATAGAGTTTCACCTCTTCTTTTCCTACTTGAATGCCTTTTATTTTATTCTCTTTTCTGATTGTGTTGGTGAGGACTTCCAGTACTATATTGAAAAGGAGTGGAGAAAGTGGGCATCCTTGTCTTGTACCTGTTTTAGTGGAAAAGCTTTCAGCTTTTCTCCATTCAGGATGATGTTCGCTATGGGTTTTTCATAGATAGCTTTCCTCCATATGTTGGCTTCATTCTCAGACTCTGTCTTGTGATAGTGATCCTAAAATGGTAGCTAGTAGCTCCCCAGCTACATTCTCTCTCTCTTTGTCAATTTCTTTTTCTTATGTTTTTCCCATAGGGTGCATGTGCTCCCCAGAGAGAGACAGAGACTGGAAAAGTAAGAAATCATCCCCCAGGGGGATGGCCACACATGAACCTGTCTCCTCCATTCTCTTGGGATTTGGGGCATGCACACACATGTATCCAGCATGATTTTCAAGCCACCAGATCTGGGACCCAAACCATAGTCAGCCATGTGGGAATCCAGCGCCTTAACCTCTATAACACCAGCTGCTTTCCCAGGCTACATTCTTCTAGGTTCTTAACTGGCAGAAAAACATCAAGTGAGCCTGATTTCTGAACATTCTTACTGGTTTATTAGGAATGCAAGTAGAGTTTCTTTTACGTTAGGAAAAGTGCTCTTAGAAAAATGCCTTATTTGTTATATAGTTTCATCTTCCATCTTTTATTACCAGAAGCTTATCTAGAAATGACCATCTAGTGTATAACCTTGGAGTAAGTATTTGTCTGGGTCTAGATAATCAAATCAGACCGATTATGAGAATCGTGTGCCTGGTGGCCAGACAGGAAGATTCCGGTCTAGTTACGTGTTAGACTGTAATCCTTTGTAACTTGCTATATATATGTAATCAGCAGGCTTACCAAAATGTAGGCAAACCCCAGAAAGGTAGCAGTTTTGTCTGATTGTTTTCATTAATGTGTCCTAAGTATCTAGCACTGTGCCTGGCACGTAATATGGACTCACGTGTTTCTCTTCAGATGATTGGCAAAATCCTTATTAATGGGTATCAGGGTTTTGTTTTTGTTTTTGTTTTCCCCCTAAGGTTAGAAATAGGATTTAATTAGTGACTCATTTTATGTACTTCACATGTTTATGTTTGTCCCCCCCCCCCAGGTTTTTTTTTTGCTACAGGGTGTGTGCGCTTGCCAGAAAGAGAGACAAAAAGTGAGAAATTACCCCCCAGGGGGAATGGCCACACCACAATCCCGTCTCCTCCACTCTCTTCTCGGGGTCGTGGGCATGCAAGCACACGCACCTGGCGTGAGTTTAAGCCCCGGGTCTGGGATTCAAACCACGGTTGACTACATGGGAGCCCACCGACGTCATTACGCCAACTACTGGTCCCCAACATGCTTACGTTTTTTGAGGAATATTTGCTTTTAAAAATTGTTAGGGTTCTAGTTTTTTTTTTGTTGTTTTTTGTTTGTTTGTTTTTAATGATATCGCTGTTTTTCATACATTTACCATGTGCTAAACAGTTTTCTGAGTACATTTCATGTGTTTTCTTATTTAATCCTCATACCTTTTATGGGCCGTATTCCCATTTCCTCTTCGTTTTATAGCTGAGAAACCTGAGTCATAGAAAGATGTTAACTTGCCAAGTCACGCAGTTGTAAGTGATGAGACTTAGATAAGAGCCTGGATAGTCTCACTTCAGAGCTTTTATTGTGTTCGTTTTATTATTATTTTTTTAATATATTTTTTCTTTTTTTTTTTTTTTGAGAGGTTTTTCCTATAGGGTGCATGCGCTCGCCAGACAGAGAGAGAGAGACAGAGAGACAGAAAGCGAGAAATCATCCCCCCGGGGGGATGGCCACACTGCAATCCCTTCTCCTCCATTCTCCTCTCGGGATCTTGGGCACGCATGCACACGCGCCTGGTGTGAGTTTAAGCCGCCGGATCCAGGACTCGAACCGCGGTTGACTATGTGGGAGTCCAGCAACATAGCCATTACACTAACTGCTGGTCCCAGTGTTCGTTTTATTTTTTACAATTGATTCTTGGAGCCATTTTATATTTTTTATGTATTTTTATGTTTTCCACTAATGGAAGTAGAATCAGGTGTAGCAATATGTAATGTTACATTTTTGGGTGGAGTTTAAATAAAAAGTGATCGTAGTACCCATTAAATATTGGCAGTTAAATCCTACTTCAAAATTGTGGATTTAAAATTTGGAAATCCAGGGCCAGCAGTTGGCATGGTGTTTAAGGTGCTGGATTCCCACATGGTTGACTGTGATTAGAATCCCAGACCCAGCAGCTTGAAACTCAGGCTGGGTACCTGTATGTGTGTGCCCAAAAATCTCAAGAGGAGAATGGAGGAGAAGGGATTACAATGTGGCCATCTCCTCTGGGGAGTGATTTCTCACTTTCCCTCTCACTGTCTCCAGTGAGTGCATGTACCATATAGCAAAAACCTAAAAATAAATAAGTCTAAGCAATACGATTTTTTTTTTTAGTATTATAAGTTTTTGTAATTTATCCTAGCTTCTTAATTGCTTGGATATAAGTATTCAGTGAAGGTTATAGTCAGAAGGCTGTATATGGTAAAGAATTTATGATAAACTGAGTACTTAATCTAATCAGAAGCATGAGTTGTTTTCTTCTTATTATGTAATATGACTTTAGATAAGAAAACACTCTAATAATACTTTAGAAAAACAGAATCAACTTAATGAGCTACTGAGTTGTTTTCTTTTTCCAGGTTGGATGTAGTGGCAAAGTCATAGGAATTGATCACATTAAAGAGCTAGTAGATGACTCGATAAATAATGTCAGAAAGGATGATCCAGCACTTCTGTCTTCTGGGAGAGTGCAACTAGTTGGTGAGTATCAAGTAAACTGTGTTGTTTTCTTCTCCAGAGGATTTTTATTTTTGGAAGATCTTAAGCTATATAGTACTTAATTATTGCATGTAAAAAGCATTCTTTATTTACTTTTATTTATTTATTTTTTATTATTTTTAAGTTTGCTTTAGGGCATATGCACTTATCAGAGCAGAGAGAGAGAGAGAGAGAGAGAGAGAGGAAAAGTGAGAAAGCAAGCTGATAGGTCCAAGACTCGAACCATGGTCAGCCAGGTGGGAGTCTAGTGCCTTAACCACCACACCACCTGCTGGCCCCATAGTGCATTTTTTACATTCACTTTTAAGTACTTTATAAGAAAAAGAGTTATTTTAGCCCATTAGTGAATGTATAGCATTCTGTCTATTTATGACTTAAATTTCACATTTTTCTATTAGCTGATGAGACTGAATAATCGCTCATGTGTTTGGCCATTTGGATTTCCTCATTTGTGAAGTATCTGTTGAGGTATTGGATTTTGTGTATCCACCTTTGATTTGTAGGGCTTCTAAAGACTAGCCCTTTGTGGGAACCAGCAGTTACCGTAATGGCTATGTCGCTGGACTCGCACGTAGTCGACCGCGGTTCATGTCCTGGACCTGGTGGCTTAAAACTCACGCTGGGGGACCAGCAGTTAGAGTAATGGCTATGTCGCTGGACTCCCATGTAGTCGACCGCAGTTCACGTCCTGGACCGAGGCTTAAAACTCACGCCGGGTGCGTGTGTGTGCGTGCCCAAGATCCCGAGAGGAGAATGGAGAAGGGATTGCAGTGTGGCCAACCGCCCCGGGGGGTGATTTCTCGCTTCCTATATCTGTCTCTCTCTGTCTGTCTGGCGAGCACACGTGCCCTATAGGGGGAAAAAAAAAAAACCTCTCCAAAAAAAAAAAAAAAAAGACTAGCCCTTTGTTTATACATAATGCAAATCTCTTCTCCCCTCTGTCCTGTGCTTTTACATCCTAATAGTGCTCTTTAGATAAACTGAAATTCTCGATTTTAATGTAGTCAGACTTACCAATCTTTTCTAGTACTTTTTGTTTCCTGTTTAAGGGTATCCTGAAGTCATGAAGATATACTTCTGTTACTTCTTAGAAGCTTTATCATTTTAACATTTCATGTTTAGGTGTTTGCTATTCCTGACATTGGTTTTTGTTTATGTATGAGGGAGGAGTCCAGTTATAATTTTCCATATGAATATCCAGTTATCTCAGCATAATTTATTGAAAAAAATCTATCTCTTCCCCATTTTAAACCTCCCATACTAGAAGTCTTCACAGTCGGCCTCATCTGCACAGATTTTTGAAGTATGAACTTGTATCTTTCAGTGGGAGACGGAAGAATGGGATATGCCGCAGAAGCCCCTTACGATGCCATTCACGTCGGAGCTGCTGCCCCAGTTGTGCCCCAGGCTGTGAGTCTGGAGTTTTTCTGTATATTTTATTCAACGATCATTCTAAAAGATTCATATAGAAATGGCTTCTAGATGGTGGTCAAAATATAATTAAGCTCGTATGTTGTACATTTTGGTTACAGTTACCTGGTACTCTTTATTTTTTAATGCAAACAGATACATAAATGACGTGAAAATCACCAAACCCAGGTCATGGCTGTTTCATTTGAAGCAGTATTTGATCCAAGTAAGAACTAGGACAGAAGTAGAATTGGGCGAGTCCCTCTGGAGCTCGTGACCTGCTAATCAGTGTGGTGTTTTATCAAATGCCAGAATGTGCAAGAGTATGGTAGGTGCATGGGAGACACGGCAAACACTGTCGTACATGGACACACAGAGCTTGTACTCTGAGAGATGTATCATACATGCAACAGGGAGACTAATTATAGCACTATAATACTGTATAATATAGAATGATGGGAAAGGAAATATGTATATTAGGGGCAGAATTTTGCATAGAGCAGTCACAGAGACTTCATGCAGGATGTAACTTAAACCAAATCTTAAAGAATAGTAGGATTTGCATAATTGGCTGTAAGAAGAAGGATGCTTCAGTATTTTGTATCACATAGTTAAGGAAATGTTTAAGGTACAATACCGATTTCTCATTTTAGTAAGACTGATAAGTTACATCAGCCTTTACTAATCTTTGGTTAAGTTCACTGAGCTCCTAGGTTTTGATTACATAAGAGAGTTTTCTTTTTTTGGATAGATTTTTGCTATAGGGTACATGTGTTCACTAGAAAGAGACAGAGAGACAAAGTGAGAAATCACCCCACAGTGAGGATGGCCATGCCACAGTCCCTTCTCCATTCTTCTCTCAAGATCTTGGGCACTCATGCACATGCACCCAGTGTGAGTTTTAAGCTGCCAGGTCCAGGACTTGAACCGAGTCAACTACACGGGAGTCTGGTGATATAACCTTATGCCTTCTGCTGTTCCCTTGATTACATAAGAGTTTTACATAATTTTTGACTAAATGACTAGAGGCTAAGAGTGACACTGTTTCTAATGCCTAGACTTATCCACTCTCCAACCCACAAAGGGCTCTTTTTTGCATGTGTACATCAGTTATGAGAAACTGAAAGTCGGGGAATGTGTTTGACTTGACTGAAAATCACTTACTGCCTCTGGCCCTATTGATGATCTGTTAAAAAAGGAAAGTTAGGCTTGGGGCCAGGTACTCACCCAGCAGTATGGCAGTGCTCTGTGATGCCGCACCTACAGGGAAGGTCCCAGATTGTGTTCCAAGATCTCTGTTACATGCCTGGCACACACTCGTGCCTGTGAGGCAGGCTGGCTGAGGCCGAGGGGTGGATCCTGGCATGAAAACCCTATTGAGGTGCCTGTTTCTTTGTCTTTCATAAGGGGGACAAATAAATAACTTGAAAAAGCATTAGAATCAACCAGTAGTTTTAGGATATTTTCATTGACATGTTAACATTATGTAGAAAAGTGTACAAGTCATAAATGAATGACTAATAGGTTTTTGTTTGTTTTTAAGAGAGATTTTTGCAAAAGGGCGCATGTGCTTGCTGAATAGACAGACAGACAACAAGAAATTACCCTCAGGGGCTATGGCCACACCACAATCCCTTCTCCTTCTCCATTCTCCTCTTGGGATTTTAGGCATGCATACACATGCGCCCTGTGTGAGTCTCAAGCTGCTAGGTCCGGGATTTGAACCATAGTCAGCTGTGTGGGAGTCCAGCAATGTAACCATTACACCATCTGCTATTTCCAGGTTTTTATCTATTTATTTTTTAATTGAGAGGTTTTTGCTATACAGTGGATGTGCTCGCCAGAAAGACAGAGGGAGACAGAAAAACAGAAAGCGAGAAATTATCCCCAAGAGGGATGGGCATGCCGTAATCCATTGTCCTTCATTCTCCTCTTGGGATCTTGGGCACGCATACACACATGCCCAGCGTGAATTTAAGTCACCGGTTCTAAGACTCAAACCGCGGTTAAGTTGCATAGGAATCCAGCGACATAGCCATTACACCAACTCTGGTCCCTCCAGGTTTTTAATTTTTTAGATTTTTTAGATTTTTGCCATGGGTTCTGCGGGCTTGCTGGAGAGAGACAGAGAAAGTGAGAAATCACTCCCCTAGGGGGATGACCACACCACAGTCCCTCTCCTCATTCTCGGGATTTTGGGCATGCATGCATACATACACACATGTGCACACACACACGGCATGATTTTTAAGCCATCAGGTCTGAGATTTGAACTGTGGTCAGCCCTGTGGAAATCCAGCACCCTAACTACCACACTACCTGTTGGCCCTGACCAGTAGATTTAGAAAAATATTTTTTTTAGTGATTTTTGCTATAGAGCAGATGTACTCACCTAAGAGACAGAGACACAGAAAGCAAGAAATCACCCTCTGGGGGAATGACCCCACCGCAATCCCTTCTTCTCCATTCTCCTCTCTGTATTTTGGGCATGCACGCACACATGCTGGGTGTCAGTTTTAAGCCACCAGGTCTGAGACTTGAACTGCAGTCGTTCATATGGGAATGCAATGTCTTAATCACTATGCCACCCAGCCAATAGATCTTTAATCCCTTTTAAAAACAACAAAAAACAACTTTTACAGCCTAGAACGAAGAGTTAAAATCTGAAATAGAACTGTGTTTAATCACTGGAGATGATCTTGAAGGTCATTTCTAGATTTAGCTTAGTATGAACTCAAATGTTGTAGTAGCCTGGTGGAAGTATTATGGCCATGTGTATACATGCGATTAAATATAGCTGTGCTGGAGCCAGCAGGTGGCAGGGAGGTCAGGCAAGCTGGATCCAATGGCTGACTGGGTGATTGGAGTCCTGAACCAGTGGCTTGAAAATTATGCTGGGATGGGGTGAGCAGGAGGTGTGGTGGTTAAGGTACTAGATTCCCACATGGCCGACCATGGTTCAAGTACTGGACCTGGCGGCTTGCTTTCTTACTTCCCCCCAGTCAAACTTTTAAAAAAATTAATAATAATATATAAAATTAAAATAATTCTTAGTAATTCTTTCTTCTTAAGAGAAGATTATGTTGGGCACATTTCACATATGCCCAAAATCCTAAGAGGAGAATGGAGAAGAAGAGATTGTAGCATGGCCATCCCTCTGGGGAGTGATTTTTCTCTCTCTCTCTCTCTCTCTCTCTCTGTCTCTCTCCAGTGAGCACACATAAAACAAAACAAAAGCAAAAACATGATAACTGCGTTGAAGGGACTTTCCGATTTATTTTTGTTTTTCCTTAAGTATGTATGTGTGTGTGTGTGTGTGTGTGTGTGTGTGTATGAGAAAGAAGAAGAAAAACTGACTTAAAAAATTTTATCAGAGGGTATGTGTGCTTTCCAGAGAAAGAGAGAGAGACAGAGACAGAGCCAGAGGGAAGGAGGGAATGAGAGAAAGCACCCCTCATGGGGCATGGTTATACTGTAGTCTCTTCTCTTCAGTTTCTTTCTCCTTTTGGGATTTTAGGTATGGACACACATTCACCCAGTGTGTTTCTCAAGCTGTTGGGTCAGGGGCTTGAACTGTGTAGTTGACCATGTGGGATTGAGCCACTTTAACCATCATACCACAGACTGGCCCGAAAAATGGACTTTTAAAAAAGTTTACTCTTTATTTCATGAGAGAGGACAGACAGCACACCCAACAGAGTCTCAGTGTGGTGATCCATCCCCACCCCCCAGCTGTGATCATGAGCATCTCCAGCAGACTCGAGGAGATCTCTGGCCACATCCTGACAGCCTCCCCACGCAGGTCAGCCTTGCCCTCTGTCTCATTTTACCACTGTGTCACCAGCTAGCTCCAGGATTGAATTTTGACAAGGTCATGTCATATTGGGATCCTACTGCTTTAGCCTCCCAGTTAGCTAAGACCACAGATGCACACCGCCCCTGGCCTGTCTGGGTTGGGCTAGAACCAAACCTAGGCCTCCTGTGTGACTTCAGCCTCCGAGTAGCAGCCTCTCAGCAGTGTATGCCAGTGTGGCGGAGCTGGCTTTCCAGACCGAGATAGCAGAGTGAAGATGTTTATCCCTCCTCTTGGGTGTCGCCACCAGACAGCGAGGACAAGAACCAGAAGCTTCGTCATACTCCATCAACTAGGAGATTATCCCTGTAACCTTGAGCTCTCCTGTGTGTGGAGATAGAAAGCAGATGGAGTAGCTGAGTCTGGAGGGTGGGGAGGCAGAAACCAAAGAAACCACAGAGTGGAGTATCATCGCAGAAGCAGTTCACTCTGCAGGACTCTGACGAGGCTTAGGAATCGAGGCAGGGCCTTGGAACCAAGGTGAGGCATGAGTCTGAAAAGGGGAATGCTGCTTACAACTCCATTTGAGGAGCCTAAGACATTTGTCAAAAGGTGAAGGAGGTAAACCTGTAGTTTCAAGAGATCCCCTGAGTGTCCATTCAGCACAATTAATTTTTTCTTTTTAAAGAAGAATTATTTTAACTTTCTCTCTCTCCTTCCCCCCATTTCTCTCTTTCTCCCTCCCTCCCCCCCCGCCCCGTCTCTTTCTCTTATTCTTTATTTTTTCCACCAGAGAGGGACAGAGTGAGCGAGCGAGACAGAGAGAGAGAGGGAAAGTGAGAAAGCAAGCTGCCAGTCCAGGACTCAAACTGCAATCAGCCATGTGGAAGTCCAGCACCCTTAGCTGCCACGCCATCTACCAGCCCCAACACAATGAATTTTTAAAATAAGAGAACCACAATATCTTTATGAAATTTCAAAATATTAGGGATAAGGAGAAGATTCTACGAATTTCCAGATAAACAAACCAGATCACCTGCCAAGGATCAGAAAGTCATCAGACTACAAAATAGCATTAAAACCCACGCGTTAGAGGAGCAGATTATCAGCATTTTAAACTGAAAGTGATGTCCAACCTAGAATTGTCTATGCATATTTATTACCAAATAAATAGAATAAAGATAGGTTTAAATTTACAAGTCTCAGTCTCTTTTAAAATGGTCTATGTACTGTTTTACAAAATGCTTCTGGGGGAATTCCTTTAATAATATAAAAAATAATATTAACATCAAAAAATGAGGAAATGAGGGAAGAGAGAGACAATAGGAAAACCAAAAAGGGAAGTAGGAAAAACCATAAAGAGGAAGCTTTTGGATCTGGAAAGCAGGGCATCCTTATCGGGGACTGGGTAGGAGTTCCCAGTTATTGCGCAAGGAATTTCCGAGATGCCAGCCATGCAGCAGGCCTGGACAGTGGCCACTGAGACTAGGTGCAGAGCAGGAGGAAGACGGCAGTAGCAGGGAGTCTTCACAAAAGAAAGAGTAAGGCACTAATTAGATAAGTTTGACTGTAAACATTTTCTTGAGAAGCTGTTGGAGAGTAGAAAATTTTGAGACAGTTACAAAGAAAATTAAGTGATAAAGAAAAGCCTTCAGAGGGACCAGCAGTTAGCATAATGGCTATGTCTCATAATGGCCCATGTAGTCAACCATGGTTCGCGTCCCGGACCCTGTGGCTTAAAACTCACGCCAGGTGCGTGTGCGTGCGTGCCCAAAATCCCGAGAGGAGAATGGAGGAGAAGGGATTACAGCATGACCATCCTCCCTGGGGGGTGATTTCTTGCTTTCTGTCTCTCTGTCTCTCTCTGTCTGTCTGGTGAGTGCACGTGCCCTATAGCAAAAACCTCCCAAAAAAAAAAAAAAAAAAGCCTTCAGAGACCAGCTGATGGCATAATGGTTGCGTTGCTGGACTCCCACATAGCCGACCATGGTTCAAGTTCCAGATCCGGCTGCTTAAAACTCATGCTGTCAGGCACGATTGTGTGCATGCCCAAAATTCTGAGAGGGGAATGAAAGAGAAGGGATTGTGGCATGGCCACCCCCACCAGGGGTGATTTTCTTGCTTTCTGTCTTTCTGTGTCTCTGGCAAGCACATGCGCCCTATAGCAAAAATCTCTCTCTTAAAAAAAAAGAATAAGAAAAGCCTTCAATTTTACTTGCAGAGAAAACAAAACTATTATATAAGAAAAAATAAATATTGAGTACCTCTTTGCTCAGCAGCAAAGTATATTTACATGGTAATTACTGAAACTGGTTTTAATAAAACATTCTGATTGGGCTCGCCCTATAGCCTAGTAGAGAAGGGAAGCTGGATCCCACGTGGCCAACTGAGGTTTGAGTCCTAGCCCAGCAACTTAGGAAACACTCTGGGTACATGTGTACGTGTGCCATAAATCCTGACAGGGTGGAAAAATGAAGATATTATGACATAACGACACCCCACTGGGGAGTGATTTCTCCATTTCCTCCTCCTTGGTTGTTCTGTCTGTCTGGTGAGTGCACACACCTTCTGGCAAAAAAAAAAAAAAAAAAAAAGGCAACTAAATGAAAGCTTCTGATTGGTTGGATGGTTGGATTAGGGGAAGGAAGCAGAATGCATGTTGAGAGCGCTCAGTCTTTAGCCAGCATAAACTGAAATATAAAGGTACAAACTAGAAGACACCACTAAAACGGAATAAAACGACTGGATGTAGGGAGCAAGATAGGAGTAGAGGGAAGAAGCTTGCTGTTTTTTATTATAAACTTTGAATTTTAGAAAAACGACTTAAAGAATACCTACAAGTATTTGATAAAAGTTAGAATGGAGCTTTCTCCAGGCACCCTCGTGAGAGTAAACCCCACGTGGCAATTCCTGATGTGCCATTGTGATGCCCGGGGAGACAGGGTGACCTGGAAATCCAGCTACTTCTTGAAGATCATCCGACTTTGGATGATCATCTGACATGCTTCACTGTGGGCGCAGACAGTGTGGACTCCAGGCAGATGCAGCAGATCCGTGTGTTTCTCTGCGGAAAGATCGTGGTGCTGATGGACAAGAACACCATGATGAGCAAGACCATGTGGGGACATCTGGAAAACAGCCCAGCTCTGGAGGTGCTGTTGCCTCACACCCAGGGGAATGTGAGCTTTGCGTTCACCAAGGAGGACCTCCCTGAAGTCAGGAACATGTTGCTGGCCAGTAAGGTGCCAGCTGCTGCCCTCATTGCCCCTTGTGAAGTCACTGTGCCAGCCCAGAACACTGGTCTGGTGCCCAAGAATACCTCCTTTTAGGCTTTAGGCATCACTCCTAACGTCACCAGGGGCGCCACTGAAATCCCGAGCGACGTGCAGCTGATGAAGACTGGAGACAGGTGGGAGCCAGAGAAGCCACACTGCCCAACACGCCGAGCATCTCCCCCTCTCCTTCGGGCTGATCATCCAGCCGGTGCTTGGCAGTGGCAGCATCTACAGTCCAAAGTGCTTGAGGAAACTGCATCCTCGCTTCCTAGAGTGTGTCCCAGTGTGGCCAGCGTTTGCCTGCAGATGGGCTACCCAGCTGTCGCATCAGTACCCCGTTACAACTGGGTCCTGGCTTTGTCTGTGGAGACTGATTGCACCTTCCCACTTGCTGAGAAGGTCAATGTCTCCTTGGCTGATCCATCTGCAGTGCCACTCCCATGGCCACTGCCAACACTGCTGCTCCTGCTGCTGCTGTGGTCTCAGCCAAGGGTGAATCAAGGAAGAGTCCGAGGAGTCAAATGAGGATAGGAAATTTGGGCTCTTCGGCTAATCACCAAAAAGCCACTCACCAGAAACAAACTTGGTCAGCTTTATTGTGAGGCAAAGAAATAAAGGCTTGCTTCTCTTAAAAGTAAAAAATAAATAAATAAAACTGGAGACCAGCAAGTGGCGTGGTGGTTAGGGCACTGGGCACTCCCCCATGTCTGATCATGGTTCAAGTCCTGGACCTGGTGGCTTGCTTTCTTACTTTCTCTCTCTCTCTCTGCTCAAAATAAAATGAATGAATAAATAAAATTAAATAAATTCTTTCTTTTAAAAAATAAAACCAAAAGAGGGAGAAAAGAAGATAGACTTGTTGACAACCAGAATTTTAATTGAAGGCACCCTTCCCTGGGGGTGACAAATATTTCCCAAAGTAAGGTTTCTCCCATTTTGCTTCTGGTTATTGATCATTGGTAAGGCTTTATTCAAATGGTAACATGCTTTAAAAATTCTGGGACTGCAGGGGGCTTTCTGTATGAAGTCTTGGCCCTCTGTTGATGGGACGTCCTCATTCTGATGCTGCAGGAACTCTGTCCCTACACTCCCTCCCCACTCAGTAATGCTATTGACAAATTTAGTCGGATAACCAGGGTTCCCTTATGTCGGCCTCAGTGACACCCTAAACTCTACAACGGTAGATCAGGATTCCTTGCTGATCTTCACTTCCCCTGCTCCGCTTCCCCTTCTGTCTTACCAAAAAGTCAAAGCAGGCACATGGGCATTAGAATTTTCTGCCTTGCCCTTGGCCTTCCCCGGAGTTTGATTCCTCATTCAGTCGTGGTTCAGATCAAACACTGTGGGCACTGCAGTTCTAACAGGTAGTGTCAGGCAGCAGCACAGGGTTAAGACATAGTGTCACCTCTGTCCTCCAGAACTTGTAGTTACTAGGTAAGTGAGTAAGTGGGTGGTCGAGAAATAGTGTAAGATCAAAGTATGTATATATAAATAAAGTACATTTCTTTCTGCCCATGGACACGGAAAGTTGTTTACAGTGATGACTAATGAGTGTTAATATAAAATCTCGGCCTAGGGCCATCAGGTAGCATAGTGATTAAGGTACTGACTCCCATGCGGTCAACCATGGTTCCATCCTGGACCTGGTAGTTTCAAACTCGCACTGTGTGTGTGCGTGCCCAAAATCCCGAGAGGAGAATGGAGGGGAAGGGATTGGAGCATGGCTTTCTCCCCGGGGGGATGATTTTTCACTTTATGTCTCTTTGTCTCTCTGTCTCTCCAGCAAGCACATGCACCCTACAGCAAAAATCTAAAACATAAAAAATAAAACCTAAGGCTAGCCTGTGGCCTAGTGATTAAGGGCATGTGATCCTACACAGCTCAAGTCCCAGGCCTAGTGGCTTAAAAACATGCTGGTGTGTGTGCGTGCATGCTCAAAATCCCAGAAGGAGGGAGAGATGGAGAGAAGGGATTGCAGTGTGACCATGTCCCACGGTGCGGTGCTTTCTCACTTTCCATCTCCCTCTTTCTCCCTCTGGTGAGCGCACATGCTCCCTGACAACTTAAAATATACATATAAATATGTGTGTGTGTATTTATATGTCTATATATAAAATCTACAACGTTACATTATGTTTTTCTTTATCTTTTAGCTAATAGACCAGTTAAAGCCTGGTGGAAGACTGATATTGCCCGTCGGCCCCGCAGGTGGAAACCAGATGTTGGAGCAGTACGATAAGCTACAGGACGGCAGCGTCAAAATGAAGCCTCTGATGGGGGTGATATACGTGCCTTTAACAGATAAAGAAAAGCAGTGGTCCAGGTGGAAGTGATTTTCTCTTCTGCTCTTTCTTCCACATGTGCAAGGTGAAAGGGTGTGGATTTTAAGACCTTAGACTACGAGAGCTGTTTTGTGGTTGTCACCTCTATGCTACTCCATGATAACATCAGAAATTCATTACATTAAAACCGTGGAAAATTTTGCATGGTCTGCCCTTTTTTTGATTTAACTTTTTTTTGGGGGGGGGGGAGTGAGACTTGGTTGGCACAGAGGCATTTTTTTTTTTTTTTTAAAGAGACAGCTGCAGTTCAGTGCTTTTACAGGATATTTATTCATTATCAGCCTCGCTATTTCTATATTTAGAAATCATATTTATAGCTGTTGCATGGGCATGGAAACAAAAGCTTTGGTCTGGAAAAGAAGAGGCCATCACTCCTGCCTCACTCAGTCTCTATGGTACCATTGTTATCAGAAGAAAGAAGGGGAATGATTTGGCTGTCCCAGTTTCAAAAATGTCAGAGTGCCAGAGAGGACATTCTGCCTCTCAGCTTGGTTTCTGTTGGTCAGATTCATAGACTCTGACACCTGGGCCTGTTTTCCATTCAGCCCTTTTCTTGCAGCTACCATGAGGAATAAGCTGCTCACATTCTGGAGATGAGGCCAGCCAGGTTTTGACCTATTCTAGCTAAATCCCTGGGAAGGGAAGTGGATTCTGTACGCTGCCCAGTGTGTGCCCAGGTCTCACAAACCCACCCAGAGGGCCAGCAGCATGTGGCGTCACATGGCCCACTTTTGTTTTCTGTGTCAGCATAACCTGGATGTTCTGTTGGGAGCCAAGATGCCTTTCACCTCATTTTCCTTCCCGCCAGGAGATGAGTACATGAGTACCATTAGCTGAAACTACTTGACGTCAGAGCCAAGATAAGACTTGTCTTAGAGTTGTTTGTGTGTGACCTAAAGATGTTATGTTAGGATCATAGTAAGTGAAGTGGTGACTATGAGTTTATTAGGCCTCTCAACTTCGTTTTCTGGAAATAGGAATGACACTCTTTGAATGTTTACTTGCAAAAATGTCAGCTCATTTTGTTCATAATTTTGCTTTACTTATAACTAAATTAAAATTGGCCTTGTCTAAGATATCTTAGTAGGAATTGCATTTTATTCTTCACCTAATGTAGCTGTACTATTTCCTTTTAATTCTAGCCTGAAGCATAGCAACTTCTTTTTAAAAATTACTTAAACTATCTTTTCAGAAACTTATTAGTGCGTAACTACACTCTTCTTTATTTACTTCTGGTACAGTCATTCCATTATACAAGTATACGATTACCACTGAATAAAAGAGGTAAATCTATTTCTTTTTTACTTAAGAATTATTTTTATTTAACTTTATTTAATTTATTTATTTTAATTTTGCTAGGGAGGGACTGAGTGAGTAATAGAAGGAAAGTGAGAAAGCAAGCCGCCAGGTCTGGCGTCTCCTGCCGGCCCCCAAGGGATAAATGTATTTCTGAAATGTGATATTAAGAGTTCAGATTTTTGGGGCCAGCAGGTGGCATGGTGGTTAAGGGTACTGAACTTCCACATGGCCGACTGTGTTTCAAGTCCCCGACCTGGCGACTTGCTTTCTCTCGTGCTCTCTCTCTCTCTCTCTTCCCATCTCTGGTCAAATTAAAAATAAATAAAGTTAAATAAAATAATTCTAAAAAAAAAGTTCAGATTTTCATGAAGAAGTTTAAGTTTTTCCTTTTACACAGAAAGTACTAGTATTGAACGTTCCTTCTATAATTGATCAAGGAAGGAATTATAAAAAGATTTTTGTTTTGGGCCAGCAAACGGCACGGAGGTAAGGCGCTGGATCCATATGACTGTGCAGTTCGAGTCCTGGATCCAGTGGCTTGAAAATCATGCCAGTGCATGTGCGTGCATGCCCAAAATCCTGAGAGGACACTTGAGGAGAAGGGACTGTGATGCGACCATCCCTCTAGGGGTGATTTCTCATTTTTCCTCCCTCTTTCTTTCTCTCTCTGTCAAGTGCATGTGATTTATAGCAAAAATATTTTAAAATAAAAATTAATGAATAAATAAAGGTGGTTGTTTTAAAACCAGAGGTGGGTTTACATGAATCTAATGAGCTGAAGTATCTTTATTTCAAGAAGAGGGGGAGAGAGACAGAAAGAGGTATTTTTTGACAGAGTCTTGCCATGTCACGATATCTGGCCTGAGCCCTCCGGTTGGCTAGGATAACAGGCATGCAGCCAGGTCTGGGTGTTAAGGTTGGCCTGGGAACCGACCTCACACCTCTTGTGGCCTCCAGCCTCCCAGGTGTGGTGCTGCTCGTGTGCCACCACGTCCCTCATTTTATATGCATGGTCTGTTTTTCTTTTCCTTCATGAAGAAGTTCTCTAATTTTTTTTTTTTAAGAGGTTTTTGCTATAGGGCGAGTGTGCTCGCCACACAGAGAGAGACAGACAGAAAGTGAGAAATCACCCCCCGGGGGGATGGCCACGCCGCAATCCCTTCTCCATTCTCCTCTTGGGATCTTGGGCACACACGCACACGTGCCCGGTGTGAGTTTTAAGCCACCGGGTCCGGGACGTGAACCGCAGTCGGCTACATGGGAATCCAGCGACAAAGCCATTACGCTAACTGCTGGTCCCAAGAAGTTCTCTAATTTTATAAAATGTAGGCTCCCAGAACACCTGACTCTATTGCTGGTAAAACCAAACTATTTTGTTAAAAAAAAAATAGGATAATTTTTAAAAATTTATGGGCAATTACTTAGTCTTTTGCTAAACATTTACTTGTTTTTCTTTATGGCCTTTCAGTTTGTAAAAAAAATGAGTAATTTTAGGGACCAGCAGTTGGCATAATGGCTATGTTGCTCGACTCCCATGTAGTCGGCTGTGGTTCAAGTCCCAGACCCGGCAGCTTAAACTCACGCCGGGTGCGTGTGTGTGCGTGTCCTAGGTCCCAAGAGGAGAATGGAGGAGAAGGGATTGTGGAGTAGCCATCGCCCCGGAAGGTGATTTCTCGCTTTCTGTCTCTCTGTCTTTCTGGCAAGCACATGTGCCCTATAGCAAAAACCTCTCCCCCAAAAAAGAGCAATTTTACATGTTTACTTTTTTGGAGAAGTTTCTCTGCTGGTACTGGAGGACTTTCTAATTGACTGCTGCAAATTTCCTTCCTATTTGTTTCAATACATTTTTCTATGTTCAAAGATAACGGTTTTAATTACAAAGATACTTAGTTGCTTTGACCAATTTGGAAGCTTAAAAGAATATAACTGAAGATGAAACAAAATCTAGAAACTAAATTGAAAAGAAATAACTGCCATATTTAAAAATCTTTTATCTTAAAAAATTACTGGAAGGGCCAGCAAGTGGTATTGTGGCTAAGGTACTGGACTCCCACACGGCCAACCGTGTTTCAAGTCCCAGACCTGGCGGCTTGAGAATCATGTTGGGCGTGTGTGTACATTCCCAAAGTCCCAGGAGGAGAGTGGAAGAAAAGGGATTGCAGCCTGACTATCCTTCCCTGGGGGTTGATTTCTTACTTTCTCTGTCGCTCCAGCAAGCACACACACACTATGTCAAAAAAGAATGAAAAAATTACTGGAAAATAGACTGTTGGAGAAGGGACGATATCAATAGCTAATCTGAAATCTTAAGAGACCATTAATCTGCTGTTTCTATTTATGTCCATAAATGGTATCGGCCAGGTTCAGCCTAGAAACAGAAGCCAACTCAGCTAGGATTCTGAAGCATTTAATGTAAGAACTTTTTAGAGAAATAGGGAAAAGCTTATAGGAACCAGTTAAGGATATTGACAAACCCAGGGGCTAGGGCCACACAGGGTAATAGGAAGTTTTTATTGCTCTAGGCCTCAAGGGGAAGAAAGGACAGGAAACAGTTTTACTGCAACCAGGTGAAAGCAGGGATGACTGGAGAGGGCGGGATAGTGGTTCCTGATAGTCGCTGCCATAGTACAGGGAACTAGCCACTTCCAGGCCTAGGACTCCCCTCAGGGCTCTCTCCTACATTCTTTTCTTACCAGGACCTCATACAGGCTGGACTTAACCTGAAACCAGAGGAAGGGGCCCTGCAGCAGGTGTGGTCTGAAATGGCTTCTCACCACTACCTCCTTCCCCTCTTCCCTAGTAGCTACTGCTGCTGTTTTTACAATATAGGTGTGCTGAATGGGTGGAGAAAATGTGCATGCACATCTGGATGTGCGTGTTTGCACACATATATATGGTGGAATACTATTCAGCCATTAGACTAGTGAAATCTGGTCCTTTGAGGTAACATGGATGAGCCTGGAGCACACGGTGTTAAGTGAAATAAGCAGCATGGAAAGAGACACACCCCGTGTTCTTACTCATATGAAACCAGTGTATTTAAAGATGGCCTCGTAGAAGGGAGAGTGGGAGAGTGACGACTAGAGGCAGAAAGAGGAGGAAGGAAGGGAGGCTAGAGAGACGTTGGTTACCGGACACGGAGTTACAGAGAGATGAGAGGAACAAGTTCTAGCCTACTAAGTACAGTAGAATAACTAGAGTTAAAAAAGTTTAAAAAAAATTTTTTTAAAGAATTATTTACTTAATTTTATTCCTTGGACAGTACAAAACTCGCCTTTTTTTTTTGTTTGTTTTTTGCTGTAGGGCACATGCACTCTCCAGAGACAGAGGGAAAGTGAGGAATCACCCCCACCCCTCACAAGGGATGGCCATGCCACAATCCCCTCTCCTCCTTTCTCCTCTTGGAATTTGGGCATGCACACACCCTGTGCCTGGTGTGGCTTTCAAGCCACGATCAGCCATGTGGGAGTCTAGCACCTTATCCAGCACGCCGCCTTCTGGCCCCACAAAACCCAGTTTTTAAAAAGCAAATTGTCTGATAATCCCTTACTTCCTCATCTGTAAAATATAAACTCATTATTTTACCTTCCCTTCAAATTTATTTTAATAACTTTTTCAAAACTTTTCATTTTTATTAGAGACAAGTTGCTAGAATAATACTAAGAACTCCTGAATCTTTTCATCCAGAATCACTGATTGTTTTTCTGTGTTTATTTTCTCCTTCCTCTTTCTCCATATACATAAATAGGTAATATTTTGGGGCCAGCAGGTGGCGTGGTAGTTGGGGTCGCTGGGCTCCCACATGGCCGACCGCTGTTCGAATCCCAGACCTGGCAGCTTGCTTTCTTGCTTTCCATCTCCCTCTCTTGCTCTGTCCCTCTCTGGTCAAATGTAAATACATACATACATACATACCTACATAAAGTTAAATAAATAATTCTTTTTAAAAAGGTCTTTTTTTTTTTTTTGAGAGGTTGTTTTTGCTATAGTGCGCATGTGCTTGCCATAAAGACAGAGAGAGACAGAGAGAGAGAAAGTGAGAAATCACCCCCCAGGGGGGATGGCCACACCACAATCCCTTCTCCTCCATTCTCCTCTTGGGATCTTGGGCACGCACGCACACACGCCCGGCGTGAGTTTAAACCACTGGGTCCAGGACTTGAACTGCAGTTGACTACATGGGAGTTCAGTGCATCTTCTGAGATTTGATTGTAAACATAAAGTACTTGAGGGTTAAGGACCCCCCCCCCCACACACACACACACTCAGCTTACTCTCTTATATGAGGCATTTAGGCTTTTTTGGTAGTTTTATTTATTGTTTCATTTGAACAGCTTTGTGGAAGGATACTTTATCTGTCATACAGTTGATGGTGGACTGCATCTTTATTCCTTCCTCTCACTGGCAGTTGCTGGCACAGCACTGCAGCTGGCTGAGCAAATGGTTTCTTTTGGAGCTGATAAAGCTGCCTTATGAAATCAGATGACAGGTATATCAGACCCACAGGCGATGCATTTTCTCCCAGAGTCAAGACTAGGTCAAGAGTGACCCACTCCACAAGTGCTAACAGACATCTTAAGCAAAGGACTAAATTTTTGCCCCATTTTGTGAATGAAACTGTGAAAAGAAAAATGACTTAAACTCTGAAATACTCAAATTATCATTTCATAATAAATAGTATTAGCAGAATGTTCCTAGACCTAAAAGTTATAATTTCTCTAATTCTTTTAAGGAAGAACTCTTATCTTTAGACTTCAAAAAGAAAGAGCTCACGCAGGCCCTTCAGATATTCTAGTTTATTCTGGAGTAGCGTGAAAGACATTTGGAATGGCTGACTTCCACTTTTGCTTTGGCTTGGGTTCATTCGCTGTTGTTTTTTAATGTATTGCTTGGGGATCTGTGCGTTTAAACTGATTTAAGAGCTGTATCCAAACTACTAGGAAGCCAAACTTTGCAGTCTAACTCCTACTGATACTTTCTCTCTTGTCTCCCCCTAGGGATGAACTGTAAAAGCAACATCAGCTCGACCAGTCCATAATAATGCAGTGGATTGCTCATCTCAGTCCTCACAGCTTTTTGAAAACCAACAGCATCACAGCTTGTTTTGGACTTCGTTACACTATTATTTTCAGCATGAAAATGTGTGGTTTTATAGGGTTTCTAATTCTTCAAGGAGGCACAGATTGGTAGGAAAGATGCAAAGTATGGATTTGTGTATGATTACTTTAACTTGCCCACAGTTTACATTAAAATATTAAAAGAAAGGGTTCTGAAAACTTAGTTTGTGAGTTGATTTTCAGGAGTGGTTTTCTTTTCTTGGACACTTAATTCTGTTCCAATATTAATTTATCAGATTGCTTTTGTGCATCAGATAACACCACCATTCACAAGTTACGATTTCTTGGTATTTGGATGTCTGTTAGATGCTACTAAGAAAAATAGAGATGAGCTTTCTTTTTAAAGCTTTCGATGTGGTGTTCTAGAATAGCATGTTGTAGATACAATCAGCTGCTTCGTTACCTTCAGACTAGGCATTTGTAAATATGAAACTAAAGATGATGGCAGGGAATGTCCTGCAGACACTCGGCTGTTCAGATTGGACATAACTGCCATAGTTCTTCCTTCCTCCCTCTGAAATTGGTAGGAGACCTGTAGCGCAGTCTTGTTATTTCTGTTTCTAATTTGCTGCTGATAACGTATATGAACCTAACATGCTGTGTAAGCTGTGTCCTAGCTCCTGAACAGTTTATGCAGTGCTGCTTTGCCAAATAAAGTTCAAAGTAAAAGAGCCATTGGTGGTGTTTGGATGTAGAAGAAACACAGGACACCAGACACAGAACGCCCACCAAGCCCACGGAGGACAGCTGTTCCTCTACTGCTCCATTTTATGAACTCTGGGGAGCTAAGGAGCAGGAATCCAATCATATTTCATTGTATTTTCTTCAAGGCAAGGACCACACTTCATTCATCATTTCTCACTGCCATCCTAACACAGGGCGTACTGGGTAGTAGATGCAGTAAATGCTGAATGAGCGAGTTGGCAAATGATTGGCCCGACGCCGGGGAAGAGCAGGACTGGAGATGAACAGACTAAAACCCATCCCGCACCTTTAGATCTATTCATATAATGACTCTAAAATGAGTTTCTTAGGAGGCAGTAGCATTTTGGGATCTTGTTTAAATGTTGTGGTTTTATACCTTTTATAATACAATCTTAGTTGTTCTTTTTTTTTTTTTAACATCAGAGTCTCTTTTTTCTAAGGGTTCTAGAACTTCAGTAGGCATTACAAATTCTTAAAAGCAAAACTGGCCTTCCCAACAAAGCCCGCAGTGTGTATAATTCTGGCAAGGAGGTCCTTAGTGTGTGAGATACTTCTCACCCACCTTTTTTTTATTCGACAGTAAAATAATTGTATCAAAGGATACATCCAAACCTCAAAATTAGCAAAAACCTCTTCCATGTAAATTCCATGATAAAATAATTTAAAACATATGATTGACTCTGAAAATCTTCCTTAAAAGTTATTTTGGAAGTTATAACATGAAATATTTTTCTTTTTCCTGTGCTGCTGCTTTTTCCATTCCTACTTCTGCCCCCTTGATATATATTATTCATCCAAACTCAAGAAAATTCAAGGGGAAAGGCATCTTTTTGCTTCATAGAAAACACGATCCATATTAAGAAAAAGTAAAAATTAAATAGAACTCAATCTGGGTTTTTTTGGGGGGGAGGAGTTTTGTTTTGTTTTGTTTTGTTTTGTTTTGTTTTGCTCTAGGGCGCGTGCACTCACCAGAAAGACAGAGAGAGACAGAGACACAGAAAGTGAGAAATAACCCTCAAGGGAGGATGGCCACGCTGCAATCCCTTCTCCTCCTTTCTCCTCTTGGGATCTTGGGCATGCACAAACACGTGCCCTGTGTGAGTATTAAGCCAGTGGGTCCGGGACTTGCTACATGGGAGTCCAGCGACATAGCCATTATGCTAACTGCTGGTCCCGAACTCAACTGGTTTTTAAAAACAATTCCAATAGGATGTATAACAAGATTATTGGAAAATATATATTTTCTCTCTACTAGTAATAGTAGAAAAATCATTTCACAGTCCTTTCTTCTCCAACTACACATTTAATTAGCATATATTCTAGTAGTATGCTGAGAAAAAGAATCTTTCTTTTTTCTTTTTTTGGAGAGGTTTTTGCTATAGGGCGCATATGCTCGCCAGACAGAGAGAGACAGAGAGACAGAAAGCGAGAAATCACCCCCCAGGGGGGATGGCCACGCCGCAATCCCTTCTCCTCCATTCTCTTGGGATTCTGGGCACGTACGCACATGCACCCGGCGTGAGTTTAAGCCACCGGGTCCGGGACTCAAACCGCGGTCGACTATGTGGGAGTCCAGCAACATAGCCATTATGCCAACTGCTAGTCCCCTGAGAAAAAAATCTTAAACCCAAAATCCCAAGAGGAGAATGGAGGAAAAGGGATTGTAGCCAGCATGACTATCCCCTTGGGGTTCTTTCTCACTTTCCTTCTCTCCTGCCCTCCACGCGTGCTGTGTGCACATGGCACTGGATCCCACTTGGCCAGCTCCCAGGTCTGAGTCCCAGACCCAGTGGCTTGAAAATCATGCCAGGTGCATCCCAAGAGCAGAATGGAGGAAAGATTGTGGAGTGGCCATGCCTGCTTGGGGAGGTGACTTCTCACTTTCCCTCTCTGTCTTTGTCTTACTCGGTGAGTGCATGTGCCCTGTGGCAAAAAAAAAAAAAAAAAAAATCTAAAAGTTAAAAACAAAAAAACTGATGTAAGTATAGTAATTTATTACTTATATTGCCAATGAAATGAACATGGATAATTTAAAAAATTATGTTCTAAGTGGATTTCAAAAGATAACTTATTTTAAGTAAGTGCTCAAGTTCATGCAGGGTTTAAATTGTCATTTTCTACAACTTATTGTGTTCTCATAGCACTATACCCAGTAAAACAAAGGTGTTCAGACTGGATTTCAGTTGTCTATCTCTGGGTTTTGCCTACCATTTTCAGAGAGATGACATTGTTCTTGTCCTCGCGATACTTAAAGGGTGGCTCAGTGAATGAATGTAAATAAATAAATTGAAAAAAAAATTAAAAAAAAAAAAAAGGGTGGCTCAGAATGCCAGTGAAAGTATCCCACTTAAAGAACACTATCCAGCCCCAGGGGCCCAAGGAAATTTGGGTAATATAATAAAAGGAAGCTGGGGTCGGTAGGTGGCATGGTGGTTGAGGTGCTGGACTCCCACATGGCCGACCACGGTTCAAGTCTTGGACCTGGCTGTTGCTCTCTCTCTTTCTCTCTCTTCCTCTTTCTCCTTCTCTCATCAAATTAAAAAAATAATAATAAATAAAATTAAATAAGTATTTTTAAAAAGAATAAAGGAAGTCAAGTTCAATTATTTCCTTATCTGTGACTCTTGTAATGCAATTACTGTGCCAATAATTGGTTCTTGCTTTGGTTTCCTTTTCTCTCTCTCTCTCTAAAAGAATTATTTTATTTAGCTTTATCTATTTATTTTAACTTGACCAGAGAGGGACAGAGTGACAGAGAGAGAAAAACAGAGAAAGTAAGAAGGCAAGATGCCAGGTCCAGGACTTGAACCGTGGTCAACCACATGGGAGTCCAGTGCCCTTAACTACCATACCACCTGCTGGCCCCGGGTTTCTTTTTTTCGCCAAAGACAGTCTCACTCTGTTGCTATCCTCCTTCCTCAGCTTGCCTAGCTGTGAGAGTATAGGTGCCTGTTGCTGCTCCCAGCCTTTAGGTTGGACCAGGAATAGAACCCAGAACCCTATGTGGCCCCAGCTTGTGGAGTACAGCATCTTAGCAGCTCATGCACTGTGGCTGGGCCTGGCTTTCTACCTTGAACTCACTTTGTGTTGTTTGAACCCGGACTCTGAAATGCCCCTTGCTTGGTGGGAGGGAAAAATGAGTGCTGGCTCTCACTCCCAGCAGTGCTGGGCTGGGCTGGGCGTCCCGGAGCCTCTGATGCCCTCTCCTCCACTTCCCTCCCTTCTCCCTCCTTTCTCGTGCTTCTGATTCTCCTCCTTTCCTTCTGTCTTAAGAACCTTCAGCCTAGAGAACCTTCTAGGCTGCTGGCTCTGCAGAACTCAGGCGGAGGTCATAGAACAAATTGTGTTTTTTGTCCAGAGGTCAGGTGATGGCCATACTGAGGACATTCCCCCATCCCAGGCCAGTCCTCCGGTAATCCACCAAGCTGGGTGGTGGACGTGTGAAAGGCAGTAACCCAGCGACATCTGAATTCCCACAGCCTGGGCACTTCACCGTGTCCCCACAAAGGATTGCATTGCCTGGAGTAATCTTGTTTGCCACCACTTTTTGTTTGTTTTATTATAGGGTGCATGCACTTGGGGGGGGTGGTGGAGAGAGAGAGAGTGAGAAATCCCCCTGGGGCAGAATGGGGGTGGGGAGAACAGTCTTGCCACAACCCCTTCTCCATTCTCTCAGGATTTGGGGCACACACCTGGTGTGTTCCTCAAGCTGGATCCAGGACTCGAACCACACAGATGGCCATGTGAGACCCAGTCACCTTAAGCTCACACCACCAGCTGGCACTGCCACTTGTGTAGGCTTTTTTCCCTTATGTGATTATCCTGTCAAGATTCTGCCTAGAAATTCCACTGTGAATCAGACTGCAGGATTTTCTTGCCAGCACTATTGTATCAGTTTCAGGTCAGTTATAAAGCGGGTATTTTCTGGTGGGAGAAGGCCTGCTCTTCCTCAGGATCTAGGCGGCAGTGAGCAATCAGGAGGTAGTCAGCGGAGGTGAACGGAGTGGGTCAGGAGGTTCCAGGAGGCTTTTATGGTGGCTTCTTTTCCATTATCACCGGCAAAAGAGGTCAAGGCATGGTCTCAGATTGGGTAGTTCATGGTTGTGATTTATTTATTTTTTCTATGCACAAAGCTCTAGATAATAAAAACTAAGACTTACCTAGTTTGGGCTGGCAGGTGGTGTGGTGGTTAAGGCAGCTGGGGCCCAACATGGCCGATTGTGTGTTCCAAATCCCAGCCCAGTGTCTTGGAACAACACTCGGGGTGCATGTGCACAGGTGACCAAAATCCAAGAGGAGACTGGCGGAGAGGGGTTGCAGCGTGGTCATCCCCCCTGGGGATTCTTTTTCACGTTCCTTCTCTCTGTCTCTCCTGGGAGTGCACACACTCTGTAGCTAATTAAAATGGAAAAAAAATGTGTCTAGTTTCATTTGTGGAACTGTTTTGTTTAAATGTAACATCAGTATCCTTTGATTTATTTGAATTTTGGGGTATTCAGCCATCTGAAGTGATACCTGTAATGAAAATGGAAGAGAACACTTTCCCCCTTTCTGAAAAAGGGAGAGACTTGTGGAGTCTCCCTGTGTCTTAATCCTCCTGCCCAGCCTCTCAGTTAGCTGGGATTGCAGCTATGTGTAGCTATGGCTAGCAGAGAACACTTTGTTTTTTTGAGTTTTTTGCATGTGCGCTCACTGGAGAGACAGAGACAGAGTGAAAATGAGAAATCATCCCCTAGGAGGATGGCCGCGCTGCAATCCCTTCGCCTCCATTCTCTTCCCAGAATCTTGGGCACTCATGTACACGTGCCCAGTGTGATTTTCAAACCAACAGAACTTGAACTGTGGTCGATCATGTGGGAGTCCAGTAAGTAACAAGTACGCCATGGAGAACACTTTATTTTCTTCTTCTTTTTTTTTAAAGAATTATTTAATTCCATTTGTTATTATTATTTTTTAATTTGCCCAG